GACTTTCGATTTTTATTTTTTCTAAAACAGCATCCGCAACATTTTACTTAGTGGAAATTTGAATTTCTTATACTATTTATCACCTTAGATTTCATAATTCGGATGCAAAAGTTTCTGTTTTGAATGTATGATTTGAATTTCACATATACTGTGCACCACAAATTGTACTTAATACAATTTTTATTTGTTTGATCATGCGTTGTAATTTAATGGTTTGTACTAGTGTTGTCACCATACGAGTTAAAACTCTACAATTTTTTGTTTTTGTTTTGTCAATCTACAAAATGATTTTGGGATTGTTATTGAAATAGTCTAATATAAAACGTGAGAAATTATTCAAGGTGTGGTGAGCTAATGATTAACATTTGAAATTGATTTTATTGTATCTCTAATTCAATTTTCTTTGGGAAAAAATGTATTTTAAAAAAAAAACTAAAGACCGACTCCGAACCTATGAAAAAATAGGATTTCGGCCCGTATGTTTCAAAGTTATATAAAAAAAAAACGTGAGGAATTCATTAATACCCCGTCGACATTTATATAACGTCTACCTCATCTAGACGCTTTTATTTTCTGTGGTTATAATTGATAGGTTGCTTAAGTATCTATCCTTTAGATCTCCCCTTTTGGCGTTTATATACATTGTTTTTTTTTTTTTTTGGGTCACAGACGTTTATATACATTGTTATGCGTGTGATTAATCATTAATTCCTTGATATTAAATTTTAAACTGGCACTTTCATTTGAATAACCAATCTCAATTACAAACCCAACGCATTGCTAATTTGGTCTTGATAAATTAATAAAATACTAGGTTATAAGAATATTCTTTAAAAAATGGACTCGAATCTTTAAACAAAAAAAGGGACTCGAATCATACATCTCTTAGAGCATGATCAATGCAAGTTTTTAGGGGTGCTTAAGAAGTTTTTAAAATATAAAATTATTAAAACACACACTCTCTCTTCCTTTTACTCAACTTTATACCTTTTCTTTCATCTTTTTAYTCAATTTTTATTAATTTTATATTTAAACATTCTCTCTTCCTTTAAGCAACTCTCTCCAAAAGTATCTACTTTAAGCAACTCTCTCCAAAAACACACTCACTATCTCCTCTCTTTATTCAAATTTTATTTATTTTATATTTCAATACACCCCACAAAAACACTATCTTTCTTTTTTTTACTCAAATTTTAATAATTTTATATTTTAAAAACTTCTTAAGCAATCCCCATTGATCATGTTATGACGTGTTATAGTCTAACCGAATTTAGATGCATATGGACCCGACTTGCGTTAGTGTTTGTTATCAAAACTTACGTTTGGTTTAGTGTTATTTTTAAAAAAGCTTAAAAAGCATAATAATGTTGTTTTAATTAAATATGTTTTGGCAATTGTAAAAGCAAATTCGTAAAAAAAATCATAAAAATGTAAAACGCAATCACAAAAATAATATTATTAATTTCTTGGTACATAGTAAAAGAGTGAACAAATCATATACGTGTATATTGGCTTTCACTCATAGTTTAGCATACAAATGTTTTTCAATTTCTGAAACATTTTTTTAAATCGATGTCTTCATAAATGTAAAACAAGTGGATAAGACTTGATATCTAACTTCGGCAAAGAGGGGTGAGTTTTTCAACCGTTGTACCACTATAGTTGGTTAATTATTCTGCATATTATTTTGTAAACTAATTTTTAAAAATCTTTATTATTAATCATGCATGCTGGCTCTCTATTCTCTATATATATATGTAAACTTCCTTATTACTCATTGT